CCAGCCATCTCTCTCCTCTCCCTGCCCCAGAGACAGCCAGGTTTAGGTCACCTGGCTTAGAGGCAGACAGTTGATAGCTAGGCCCCCAAATTTCAGGCCTTTGGAACCCTGGTGTTGCCTTTCAGTTCCCCTCCATGGCTGAAATGGGAGCTGACTGACTGGCAACTTCTATACTTAAAGCAAAAAGCCTGCTGACTAATTCCTCATCTCCAGGGGCTCACCTTCAGCCCCAGACTGCTCTGCTCTGAGGCTGCTTGTGTTGGTCTGTCAGCCGCACAGCCCGAGTCTTCCTGGACAGTCTTGCTTTCACTGTCCTCATATTTACACCTTTATGTTCGTGCCGCCCAATGCAATCGCTGTTTGCATTTCTACTTAAATAGATCATATACTTTTATATGAATAAAATTTAAAATTTTAGCCTCATGCCCTGGCTGGCATAGCTCAGTGGATTGAGCTCGGGCTGCGAACCAAAGTGTCGCAGGTTCGATTCCCAGTCAGGGCACATGCCTGGGTTGCAGGCCATGACCTCCAGCAACCGCACATTGATGTTTCTCTCTCTCTCTTTCTCCCTCCCTTCCCTCTCTAAAAATAAATAAATAAAATCTTAAAAAAAATTTTTAGCCTCATTCACCTGCTCAGGAGCCACGTGTGCCCAGCGGCTACTGTTGCGCAGCACAGATGGGAAATGTGCATGTGCACAGAAAGTTCTATCAGGTAGCTCTGACTTACACAGCCAGAAAATCTAGCATCTTAGCATCCGAGCCACAGCTCACAGGCTGTTTCCCTCCTAGGCATTCCTAAAGTTCCCTTAATCTTCCAAGTGAACCTATCGGAGTTCCCAAGACATCAGGGCCTGTTGGCATTTGAAGCCACCTGACTGACAAAGGATGCCTCCGAAGACATGTCTCCTTATAAAATCCACCATTACCAAGTTTGAATGCCCGCTATTTCTACACAGTGGGACGGACATATGGGGCCCGGGATATTCTTGACGTGTGTGATCTTCAAAACATCACTTCGTCTGCGAAAGAGGGAACTTGGTGTCTCTTAGTTTTATCCAAGCCATCAGGTCTGACAGCCGAACGTGACAGCTGGATGTGGAATCCAGTGCTGGCCGAGGGAGGGAGTGGCAGAGCGGGGAGGATCACAGCTGGGCATGGCTGCTTCTAGATCTGCCCTTCCCGGGGGTGAGGCTGTAAAATGCCTGTCAGAGCCTCCCCGTCGTCCTTTCTGGACCTCTTAGATATGAATGAGCCTGTGCTGCAGAATGAAGAGAAAGGATTTTTTTTTTTTTTTGTCTTTCCCTCACCCAGAGAGAAGGGGCACTTTGGGGTAAGAGGTTTAACCAGAAGCAGTTTCTTTTTGGAGCAGGGGCAGTTCCTTATTCCCTGCCAGTTCCTGCAGGCAAACAGCACGCCGGCTGGCTTGCTGCTTCAGCCCTACCTGTCATGTGCTTGGCAAGGCTGACTTGAGTCCTTTTTTCCACTGCCTTCCCCACCCCATCAAATAGCAGTTGCAACCTCTCATTTTTCTGCTGCCTAGATGATTAAAAAGCATGACTTAGTGGAAAAATCTTGACCTCCTTAGGGTCAGCCTCTTAAGCAGCTGTCGTAGATAAGATTGTGCTGGCAAGATACTCAGCAATACTTTGCAAGCCTTCTGTCTGTCTGCACGGAAATGAGGAGCTGTTTGCTTCTGGGTGCCTTTGTTTGTCTCTGGCGAGAGCTACAATTTTCAGAGGCATAAATTGGTATTATCTGATAATAGAATAAAATCTCTGATGGAAGGGTTAGATTATTATAGTGATTTTAAAAAATGTAATTAACAGGCCCTGTCAAAAAAAAATTGTTTCCTTTTTTTGGAGGAAGCCCGCTTTGAACAATTCGGGGAGGGAGCAAAGTTCTCTGGCAACTAAGCACTATCAGAAGTTCAATGCTCAGACTTCCCCCAAGGACTTAAAAGGCTTAATTGTGCAGTTCTTGGTATGAAAGGCATTGTTTGGAGTTATTTTAATTACTGTGTTAGTATTGCTGCCTCTCCATTGCAGATTGAACATTCACCATAGTCCTGTTGATGCTGCTCCAGAAAGGACATTCCAGTTTGAATTTAGCGTATGTCCTCAAAGCGTTTTATTGCATTTGCATTTGCCAAGGACTTGTATCCGTCTGGTGGGAGAGGAAGGTCACTCTGCTTCTTGGAAGGAGAAATGGAGGAAAGGGTGGCCGAGAGGAGTTGGTTGGGGTTTGATGTCAAGGGCATAGTGAGAATCTGGGGTCTGTGGCTTGCCACCGTGTGTTACCAAGTCCTTCAGGCCTGAGTTTGGGTCCTGGATCAGCCACTCCCTAGCTCTGTGGGCTTGAGGAAGTCACTTGCCCTCTCTGTGCTTCAGTTTCCCGATCTGTAGACTAGGGGTCACACCACTACATGCTTTGCAGGACTACTGTAAAGGTAGAGGCTCTGGCCAGCAAACATGCGCGGCATATCTTCCATCATCATCCATATTTTAATATCCTCTTCCCCACACCTGCCAATTTTAGTTAAAGATCTGTTCCCGCCTTAAAGTAACTTTCACGCTCTCCACCCTTACCGTTCCCCTCCTCCTACTCTTGGTCTTGCTGCGTCTCGTCCCTTTACGGGTGATCATAGTTAGAAACTGGTTATCACCTGTCTCAGCTGAGGAGTCACAGGGTAGGCGCAGCCCTGGGCTTGAGGTCTGAGGGTAGAGGCGGGGGAACGAGTCTGCCCTGGGCCAGGTGTCCGTCTCCCCATGATAGGCCACAGCTCTGTCTCAGGTCCTGCAGGTTTAGAACACCTGTGTGGACTGGGAAGCCCAGCTTCTGGACCCGGCTGCCCAGAGGGTCATCTTGGGGCCTCCAGCAGTCAAATGGGCAGACTCTTGCCCACACTTCCTGGTCAGTTTTCTATCTGTGAAATGGGCACGTTCACCAGTGACATCCACTCATTTTCCAAAAGGTACAGGCATTGAAAAGGGAAGATCTGGGTTTAAACCCTCAGAGCCGAGGGCCTCACTGTTCCTGGTGCGGGGTAGGGGCCGCAGGTGAGGAGACCTGAAGGAGGTGATGTCTAGAGAGCGTTGAGGACTGCAGCACGCTCTCAGTCGTTGGGGCTCCCCTCGGTCACCGCCTGGGCCTGTGCTTGGGACGGTACCTTGTGTCGTCACGCGCCAGGAGGGGCTCCAGCTCCGCGGGAGGAGTGAGCAGGGGTCCAAATCGGCCACTTGACCCTCTCTGGGCACAGCACACTCGGGGTCTGCGAGCAGAGCACAGTCCGTGGGCCGAACTGCAGCGTCCGCCGCACCAGGAAGAGATGGCCGTCAGTGGGGTCGGCCTGCCCCATGCTTTCTTCCCAGCCCCTCCCCATGCCCCTCCCCTGCCCTGTTTTCCTCCTGGCTGCCATTAGGGTACTTTTTATAAGGCTTGTTAAATCTTTAATGATGCCTGGTTGTGCAGCTGGCTTAAGGCTTAATCCCCAGCAATAGTGCTTTATTGGATAAATGGTTAATAATCACTTGTCTGCAGGGATTTTGGGGAGGTTTCGTTGAGGTTCCCATGATTCCTGGGAGCTCCGCGTGACTTGTGACATGGTCAGTGACTTGGCTGGGACAGTGCTGCTTGGGGTTAGGGTGCAGTAACATGGGGCATCCTCATAGCGCCGCGGAGGTTGGGAAGGCCTGAGGTTACAGGGGGGCACGTCTCCCCCTGGGGAACAGAGGATGCCTGCCTGTTGCCATGGGCTTGTGTGGATCCGAGCCAGGTGTGGGCAATCCCCAGGATCTCTTCAAATATGTGTCCGCCCACTCCTGGTTTTGGTTTCCTCCCCCCCCCCCCCCCCGCACCATTAACAGGCTGTGTGACCTCAAACAAGTCTCCTGACCCCTTTGGGCCTCAGTCTCCTCATCTCTCAAATGCAGAGGTGGGAAGAGACGGCCTTGAAGGTGCCGTGTGATTCTGTGAGCCACAGCGTCCCAAACAGAGGCTTCCCTCTAGCTCTGGGATGTGTCACTGAGGGCTGTGAATGGCAAGGGACCAGCAGCCCTTCGGCTTAAGTACTTAATCTTCTGGGCAAAGAATTGGGTCAGCTGTAGTCACAGGGCTGTGTGTACGTGGGGGACGCACAGAGGCGTCAGTTTTATAGCTTGGTTTGGGGTTTCTCCCAGCTCCGGGCAGGACACACACTAGGAATTGTTTTTCAAAGCCTTGTTGATCGGGCTCAGGAGAGCAAAGTAAATCCTTCCAGGTTCAGAGCCGTCAAGGAGTCAGGAGTTGTTCACAGGTGAAAAGGGAGCCCGGAACTTGGTGGGGGCCTCCCCCTTAGCCCTTACTTGGCCTTGACTTCACAGCTGCAGCAAGATCAGGACCCGTGCATTGGAGGAGTGTGGGTGCACTGGGGCTCGGGCCTGGGAGTCAGACAGACCTGGGTCTGAATCTCCTTCCATCCCTCATCTGCAGCCTGCATGCTGCCGGCGACCTCCTTCTCCAAGCCCAAGATTCTTTACACTAGTATCAGCAACCCCTGCTTTTCAGTAAGAGCATGCTAGTTCAGAATTACCTATGTAGAGCACCTGGCAGCTGGCTCGTACCAGGTGCTAATCCGGGAAAGAATTTAACCTGTGGGGCCTGTCACACGCTTTGGACTGCTAGGGTCAAACCCTTGCTGTAAACGGAGATGTGGCTTACTGGGGATGATGTGATTTTGAATTCTTTTATCAGAAATAAAACACAACGAAAAGTGCACACAGGGCTACCCCACCTTTTAGACTCAGCGGTGCTGCCCTGAACACTTTCAGCTTCAGACCGAGGGATGGCTTCCCGTGTTTCCCCAGAGTTTGCTTCATGGCTCCTGCCTGACACTGCTCCCCCCACTATCCCAGGGCAGCATACAGCAGGTGCTCAGTCCTGCACGTGCATGTGAAGCGAAGGAATGGACTTGCTCTTTTTCAGTCCGTACGTGACCGGGTGCTCGCTCTGCTTCTATTTCAGATCTTCCCCGACCCGTCAGACTTTGACCGCTGCTGCAAACTGAAGGACCGCCTGCCCTCCATCGTGGTGGAGCCCACGGAGGGGGAGGTGGAGAGTGGGGAGCTGCGGTGGCCCCCCGAGGAGTTCTTGGTCCAGGAGGATGAGCAGGACAACTGTGAAGAGACAGCGAAAGAGGACAAGGAGCAGTAGAGTCCCCACCGACTCCCACCGGGTCACACCAGACAGCATCTGCACCTGAACTTGTGTTCTTTCCTATTGTGATGGAAGAAGAGAGTGAGCCATAGTCGTTCGGGGACATCAGACGATGGCTTCTGTTTGCACCTGCGAGTCACTGAGTTGGTCTTCTTTCCTTTCCTTTTCTTTTGTTGAACTGTGTGGAGCAGTGGAGCCCTCTGCGACACTCTGCAAGGCCTTCTGAGAAAGGAAGCTGCTTAGAGCAGGGGTGGGGGGTGCGGCAAGCTTTGCTCTTTGAGATCATTATCTGAACTCAAGCAGCTAGAGGCACTGGTGGGATTCCACTGGGCTCTGGGGTTGGGGGGGGTTGTGGGGGATGTTCACGGAGCAAGTAACACTTGGGGTAAGAAAACAAATGTGAGACAAAAAAGAAAACACACGTTTTAAAGAAAACGTTGGGCAGAGACTTGCAGCCAGGAAGCACCACTCGGTGAGCGTTTGCTCCGGCTGCTGGGGCATCAGACGACAAAGTCTTCATTTCTCTCTCCGGCTTCACCCACCGCCAGCCTTTGCTTTTATTTCGGGTGTGTTTTCTCTTACCGGGCAGGCGGGTAAAGGAGAGCAAGTATAACCTGGCTGCCTGCAAAGCCAGCTGGAGGTGATGCTCGCTAAAGGAAAAGGTCTCCCATTCCTTCTCCGAGGACCCGCAGTTCCAGCTGTGGCAGGTCCTCATACCTGCGGTCATCTGGAGTATTTTTCTAATAGGCAGCATTTTGGAGCTTCTCTCCCCCGTTTATCCTTTTTGCCCATCCCCACTCTGCCCTTTTGGGAGCAGTGGGACTACTGCCTGCCCTTGATGGAGGACTGATGTGGGCACTTGGTCCTCCCCAGCTGCTTCCCCTCAGAGACTTGCTCTGAGTCTGAGCAGAGGCACAGAGCAGGCGGGCTCTCCCAGGCTGGCCCCTCCCCCTTCCCACCAGGGCCCTGCCCTGCCCCAGGCCACAACCATCAGGCAGAGGTGGCTCCCAGCCCTGCAGTGGGTTCCAGCCAGCCTGGTCAGCTGCAGTACCCACTCCCACAGGGACTCTTGGCCTGTTTTCCTGATGGGAGCTGAGTGGAAAGCAGGAGGCTTTTTCTGTTTCTTGTTGGAGAGCTGAGTTTAGTGCAGGTCTGGAGGGCTGGTAAGCCTGGGAATTATTGGGCGGGGGTGAGGAGGCTCTTGTGCAGCAGCCTGGAGATGGAGTTGAAACTGAAGTGTGTCACGACATCCCTGGCCTCTCCCTGAGTGTTCTGGATGCAGGTGGGAGGACAGCATGGGGAGGGAGCGTGAAACGGGGGTCTTCATCACTCCCCACCTCCCACCTGTCCCCTGCAAGGGCACAGTTACACCAGAAAGTTAGCCTTGGACTTAGAGCTTCGTATAGTTCGGAACCACCAGGAGCGGCAGGATACAGAACAAACCTCAAACCGTCTCTGTCTCAGAGAGGTCTGTGCCGCCAGGAGGGGGCCTCGAGAACCTCCCTGGGGCTGAACTCTGCCCATCCAGGCACCCACATGTCCCCTCAGGTGTCCAGTCAGTCCAGGGTGACCCCGGTTTTGAATTTGCGTATAAGGTTGTATTTAATACCTCAAGGGTAGTGTGGCTCTGGGGAACGTGGGGCGGGGGGCCAGGCTGTGCTGTGGACACATCGGCAGGATTGGGTTCTGGGCAGCCAACACTCTCCCATCCCCCTGCTCCCTCCCTCTGTGTGGTCTGCTTGTGTTACACACACCGACGGCAATAACTTCTTCCAGCTCCTCGAGGAAGTGGGAGAGGCCCGCAGCCTGCCTGGAGGTGGGGAGGTTCTCTCTCTTGCTCTCCCTTCCCTTCTGTCTCGGCTGCAGAGAGCTTTTCCTCCGACTCTCATTCTCTCGCAGCGGCATTTCTCATCCTGTGCCTCCCTTGTGGGTGGGGTCTTGCCTTTTAATCCTGTGTTTCCGTGTGCCCCTCTCATGTGCTCCCCGGTATCATCTGTCCGTGTGACGGGAACATGCTTGTAAACTGCCTAACAGATCTACTTTGTGTATATGTGTGTTTATGGGGGTGGTTTATTTTTGCTGGCCGCGAGGCCCCTTTGTACGACCATGCGGAGTCTGAGCAGGCCAGAGGCGGACAGCTGACGTTGGGACCCTCAGCGGTGAGCCTGTTGGGGGGACCCAGCCGCTCTTGGGCAAGTGGCTGAGCTCCTGTCTGGCCTCCTCTTTTTTTTTTTTTTTTTAAGTATCTTGTGTGTATTTCTAACTGATTGTATTGGAAAATAAGCCTAGTATTTCAATAGAAATGCCTGTTGTAAGATGAACCTCCTGTAAGTTCTATCTGTTCTTTTTTGAGGCTCAGGGAGAAACTAGCTTTTTTTCCCCCCGAAACTACTTTTTGTCACTGTGACAGTTGTAAATAAAGTTTGAAAATGCTTTCCACGCTGGTCTGGTTTCCTTCTTCCTTCCTGTCCCACTGGAACAGAGAGAGCACGAAAGAAACCAAGGTGCAACTCTCGAGGGAGGCTGGGCGGCGGGGAGCCCCATATGCGGTTCCCTGCATGTCACCTGCTGGCCCTTCTGGGCTGGGCCCACCCATATATATATATATATTTTTTAATCACTTGCTGAATGAAAGCAGCTTGTTTTTCTATGCTGGTGGTTCCTGACTCTGGATGTACATCAGAATTACCAAGAAGTCTTTAAACATTATACAAATACCTGGGTGCTACACACCAGGATTTGGCTTTCAATAGGCTGGGGTGAGGTGGAAACATTAGTAGTTTTTAGAATCACCTGGGGAAATTTTAACATACAGCCATCGTTTACAACCACCCTTCTAAGGGAAGAGAAATACCCAAGATATGTTGTGAGTTTGTTCACAGAAACTCAGGGGTGTGGCCAAAGAAAGCGCAGCACTCATTAAGACCATTTCCTGAGTGCTGCCACTCACCTGGCATGGGTGGACATGGGTGGTCAAAGGGTGGTTTACACCACCCTTACACCATGGGTGGAGGTTGGTGTAAACAATCTAGCAGTGGTCCCAGCCCTCAGGCACTGCTTTGGTGTCAAATTCAGTGACAAACATGGTGGAGGGCAAGGCCGGAAGAAGAGGGAAGAGTACGGTCACGAAGGACATCTGAAGCGACAAGGGGCAGGAGAAGAGGGGATGAGGTGCGTGGAAAGAACGCTTCTGGCAGAGAGAAGGCTTGGAATGAGCTTGGCTAGTGGGGGTGGGGAGGAGGAGATAGCGCAAGGAGGGTTGCACAGCCTGGGTGAAGAGTTTGCATTTTATTCTAAGTGCAGGGCATTGAAAGGTATAGTTTACATGCTTATACAATCTGGCTGAATGGAAACGGATCTGGAGTGGACACCATGGGAGGCCCGGAGGCCAGGACGGAGGCTTGTGGAGGTCAGAGAGACAGAAGGTGGTGCTTTGTGAAAAAATTTTTTCGACATTTTTCTAACCCAAGGCTGAATTGTCCTTCTATTTTCCTCCAATAACCCGAGGGTGGAGTTTATGAGAACACAGCCCCCTTGAATATAGCACCTCATGAAACTGTCTTTATTTCCAGATGCATTGTCTATGTAGAAAATCCTATGAAAATCTACAGAAAAAAAAAGCTACTAGAACTGATATGTGAGTTAGGTATGGTTTCAGGATCTAAGATCAAAATATAAAAATGGACTTTCTATATATAGTAGCAATAAATAATTGGAAGTTGACATTTAAAATGCCACTTACATTAGCATCAAAAGATAAATTATTTAGGGATAAATCTGACAAAAGACATGTAAAACCTCTTCCATGACAACTACAAAACACTGCTGGGAGAAATTAAGTAAAACCTGCATAAACAGAAAGGTATACCATGTTCATGGATCTGAAAATGCAATGTTAAGCTGTCATCATATCCAAACTGGTCTATAGATTCAACATACTCAAAATCCCAGTAAGCTTTTTGTGTAGAAACTGATCATCTGATTCTGAAATCCATATGGAAATGCAAAGAACCTAGAATAATCAAAACAATTTTGAAGAAGAACATAATTTGAAAAAGATCGAAGAACTCAGTTTTTAAAGCTACAGTCAGCAACACAAGGTAGTACTGGCATCTAGACAGACAAATAGATCTGTGGAACACAATAGCGAGTCCAAAAATAAATGCACACATTTATGGCCAATTGATTCTGACAAAGCCAACTCAGTGGAGAAAGGACAGTCTTTTCAACAAATGGCGCTGGAACAATTGAATGGCCGTCTGCAAATAGTCCCTGGGGATGGAAACATGAGTCTTCACTTCTGTCACTCATTGTTTTCATGAAATTTTCTAAATAGAATAATTATTCATTGAGAAATAAATTCCTTTTACATGTTGGCCAATCACTTCAATACTGTCCCTGTTTCACCCCGGGTCACCTCCTTTCTCCCGAAGAAGGAGCATTGGATGGCAGCTGGTGACCTTGGCTGTGTATTCAGGCTGACTTGCATTCAAGTCCTGCCCTGCCCCTTCCTCCATATGCCATTTGGAGCCCATTTCTTAATGTCCAGGATCCTCAGTGTTCTCTATGAAACGGAGATAAGGCCAGTACCTCCTGCACAGGTGTGTGGACTCTGAGCACTCTGCAGGTGCCCCACGAGTCAGGGTTTTCTCCTCCCTTTGCCTGGAAGATCTGGTGTCTACGGAGCTAGTTCCTGCCTTCTCTTCCCTGCTTCTTGCTCTGGGACGTTTGCGCACACCAGAGTCAAGGGGAGCCTCAAGGTAAAGAAGACACCTCCCTACCTGCAAACCCAGCTCCCTTAGTCTGCCCCTGTTGTTCATCACTGTGGGTGTTTGGGGGGCAGAAAGCAGGGAGAAAAAGAGACTTTAATGCCTTCTGCCCATCAAAATATTGAGGAGGGAAGTGGGAGACATCTCCCATGAAGATGGGCCCGATGCCTGGCTCCTTTTAAAGAGGGGATCCTTGGACAGAGACCTGTCGGAAGTGATGGTTGAGCTTTGTATATATTGAGGAGAGATTTCAGGCAGGGTGACACCCGTGCAAAGCCTCTACGGTAGAAATGGACTTGGCCTTTCTGAGGAATATCTGTGAATCTGGCGTGGCTGGAGTACAGAGAGGAATAGCTACAGTTACATACCACAGAGAATCACTATTGCCCATTGTGAGAAGCCCCCTGGGGAAGGACACAGGCTCACCCGGCATCCAGCCCCTGAAGGTCTACTGGTCAGGCCATCCAGAGCTATGTGACTCCTGACAAACAGCAGTCAGTACTGACAGACCCGAGGCACTGTCACATCCTGAAGGGACTTCTGGATCACCAAAGAATGACGATCCAGGTAGAACTCAGGTAGAATTCAGTTTGTGCATCTATCCTCCGATTGCTGAAGGGAGGTTTATGGCTACGAGAATGGCCTCTGAGCTCAAACTCCTGGCCCTACCTCTTACTAACTAGGTGCAAGCTACTTGCAAAAGTGACTTTTGTTTTGTGTGCCTCCCTTTTCTCACCTGTAAAATGAGTACCTGCTTCACAGAATTGTGGTGAAGTTTACATGCATGACTACAAGCAACTTGCTTAGAACTGTACCAGGCACATAGTAAGTGCTCAAGAAACATTAGCGATCATGGTGGGCAGAATAATGCCTCCCACTCCCAGAGACGTACATGTCCTAATCCCAGGAGCCTGTGAACATGTTATGTTACATGGCAGCTGGACATTAAGGTTGCAGGTGGAATTAAGGTTGCTGACCTTGATTTGGGAAGAACCTGGATCATCCAGGTGAGTCCAATCTGATCACAATTATCTTTACAACGAAAGTGGGGAGGCACAGGAGTGTCGGAGCCAGAGAGAGGTTTGAAGATGAAACACCGCTGGCTTTGGAGGTGGAGGAAGGGGCTCCTGGCCGAGGAATTCAAGTACCTCTAGAAACTGGAAAAAGCAAGGAAATGATTCTCCTGAAATCTCCCAGAAACACCTTGATCGTAGCCAAGTGACACCCATTTCAGACTTCTGACTTCAAGAATGATAAGATTATAAATTTGTGTTAAGTCATTAATTTTATGATAATTTGTTACAGACACACTAGGAAATGAATACAGCCATTGTTGTCACAACTATAACGACGATGATGACGATCACATAGACTTTTCCTGTGTAGCTTCAGAGAGCTGGGTGGCCATGAACAAGAGGGGGTCCTAGGCAGGCCAAGGCCACGTTCCAGCAGCTGGGGCCCACTCCTTCCTGAGGCTCAGTGCCTTCTCTGGGGGTCACCAGGCAGAGATGTCTGTCAGATGGAGGGGGCACCGCTGCACTGAGACTGGATAAATTTGAGGCTGCAAAACCCTTATGTTAGAATTTTGCAAATTAGTAATAAATGTGTGATATATTCATCAGTATAATCTATGAGTCAGACTAGTCCTCGAAATACTCTCTTCTCACCACTTACCTTGATAGAAGGTCCTACTTCAAAACGTGATTCATTTGCAATACTTCCTTTGCCATCCCCCCGCCCCCAGTGTGAATTCCTTCTTTTCAAATATCAGCTACCATCTACGGCACTTTGGGCTATCGGTTTACCTTCATTTCTTCTAATTCTCACAACAGTTTTGCAAAGTGTGGGTCTTCACAGATAGAATTTTTGGATGTTTTTTTCCTTTGCACAAACTGCATTTAGCACTGATGGAAGTCATACAAAATGGCGAAACTAGGGGACTTCGCCTTTCAAATCCCATCATATTAGCACTCGATTATTTACATTTTTGTTTCTTTCTAGTCATTGTTCCTCTTTCTCACCGGAATGTGCTCAGTGAATATACTTTTTCCCGTAAAGCAGGCCTGTTTGATGTTATTTTATTATAGAGGAGGTAGCTGAGGTAAGAGGGCCTCACAATGAACCAACTTTGGAACAAGAAGGAGACAGGTTAGAATCGGGAGTGTGCTGCTGGTAAATGTGTACGGAGGAGCTGGCTTTCCAAAGGTGTAAAGAAAAAAAAATGTCCTGATTTGCAGCATTTGCCAATTTCCATGGTGTAAATGCACCCATCACGGCTGCTTTTGTGGGCAAGCCACCCAGCCTGTCTGTGCTTCAGCTTCCTTTGCTGTAAAACGGACATGGCTCCAAGCCCAGGGCCGTGCCTGGTCCAGAGGCCTCTCTACACCCGAGTGCCCTCCCCTTGTTCAGCCAAGAGAAATCCTCCAGAAAGAAATGTCTAGTACAGTATTTTTCAAACTGACTTGTGAATCCTGATTGGGTTGTGAAACTGATTTACTTGTGGGTTGCAGCTAGAATTTTTTTTTAAAGAAAGAAAGCAAATAGAAAAGACTAAATAGAACAGAAAAAAAATCCAAACCCCAAGTGCAGCAGACATGGGAAGATCACATGTTATTTCCTGAAATTTTTGTTTCATTCCTACATATGTATGGATGTCTGGACTAGGTCATG